TGCTAGTTGTTTGGCATGGGGTGTCCAGCACTGTGGCTTACTGGTTGTTGAGTGGAGCTGGTCCTTAGTGTTGAGATGGAAATCTCTGGGATATCTTTTGCTCTTTTATTTGTTGTTGTTGTTTGTTTGTTTTTGTTTTTGTTTTTTTGTGGTACATGGGCCTCTCACTGTTGTGGCCTCTCCCGTTGCGGAGCACAGGCTCCGGATGTGCAGGCTCAGCGGCCATGGGTCACAGGCCTAGCTGCTCTGCGGCATGTGGGATCCTCCCGGGCTGGGGCACGATCCCGTGTCCCCTGCATTGGCAGGCGGACTCTCAACCACTGCACCACCAGGGAAACCCAGCTTTTGCTGTTTGATATTACATGGAGCCGTGAGTTCTCTGGTGGACAATGTCCTGAACTCAGCTCTCCAACCTCAAAGGCACAGGCCTGACAGCCGGCTGGAGTACCAAGTCCCTGTTAGCCACAAGGCTCAGAAGAAAAGGGCGAAAAAAAGAAAGCAAGAACTAAATAAAATAAAATAATGTTATTAAAATAAAATTTAAAAATAATTATTAAAAATAAAAAAATTAAAAAGTAATAAAAAAGAGAAAAAAAAAAGGAAAGAAGAGAGCAATGAAACCAAAAAACAAATCCACCAATGACAACAAGCGCTAAAAATGATACTATTAAAACAAAAACAAACGGACAGACAGAACCCTAGGACAAATGGTAAAAGCAAAGCTTTACAGACAAAATCACACAAAGAAATATACACATACATACTCACAAAATGAGAAGAAGGAAAAAATATATATATTGTGGCTCCCAAAGTCCACCACCTCAATTTTTGGATGATTCATTGTTTATTCAGGTATTTCAGTGAAGCAGGGTACATCAAGTTGATGGTGGAGACTTAATCTGGTGCTCCTCAAGCTGCTGGGAGAGATCTCCCTTTCTCTTCTTTGTTTGCTCAGTTCCTGGGGTTCAGCTTTGGATTTGGCCTGCCTCTGCATGTAGGTCACCTGAGGGTGTCTCTTCTTCGCTCAGACAGAACAGGATTAAAGTAGAAGCTGATTAGGGGGCTCTGGCTCACTCAGGCAGTGGAGGGGAAGGGATACGGAATGTGGGGCAAGCCTGCAGAGGCAGAGGCTGGTGTGATGTTGCAACAGTCTGAGGCACCATGTGTTCTCCCGGGGAAGTTGTCCCTACATCATGGGACCCTGGCAGTGGCGGGCTGCACAGGCTTCTGCGAGGGGAGGTGTGGATAGTGACCTGTGCTTGCACACAGGCTTCTTGGTGGCTGCAGCAGCAGCCTTAGTGTTTCATACCCATCTCTGGTGTCCACACTGATAGCCGCAGCTCGTGCCTGTCTCTGGAGCTCATTTAGGCAGTGCCCTGAATCCCCTCTCTTCTTGCACCCCGAAACAATAGTCTCTTACCTCTTAGGCAGGTCCAGACCTTTTCCTGGACTCCCTCCCGGCTAGCTGTGGTACACTTGCCCCCTTCAGGCTGTGTTCACGCAGCCAACCCCAGTCCTCTTCCTGGGACCCGACCTCAGAAGCCCGAGCCTCAGCTCCCAGCCCCCACCTGCCCCAGCGGGTGAGCAGACAAGCCTCTCAGGATAGTGAGTGCTGGTCGGCACTGATCCTCCGTGCAGGAATCTCTCCACTTTGCCCTGTGTACCACTGTTGCTGCACTCTCTTCTGTGGCTCTGAAGCTTCCCCCTCACCACCACCGCCCCCCGACCCCCCAACCCCACCCTAGTCTCCACTAGTGAAGAGGCTTCCTCATGTGTGGAAACTTTTCCTCCTTCACAGCTCCCTCACTGTGGGGCAGGTCCTGTCCCTATTCTTTTTTCTCTGTTTTTCCTTTTTTATTTTGCCCTACCCAGGTATGTGGGGAGTTTCTTTTCTTTTGGGAAGTCTGCGGTCTTCTGCCAGTGTTCAGTAGATGTTCTGCAGAAGTTGTTCCACATGTAGATGTATTTCTGAGGTATTGTGGGGAGGAAGGTGATCTCCACGTCTCACTCCTCTGGCATCTTGAAGGTCTCTCTCGATCACTGTGGTTTTGATTAGAATTTCCCTGATGATCACTGATGTTAAACACTTTTTTCATGTACCTGTTGTATTTGTATTTCTTCTTGGGAAAAAATGTCTGTTCAGGTCCTTTGCCCCCTCTTTATTTTTTTTTCTGAGTTTTATGAGTTCCTTGCATATTTTGGAGATGAGCTTATTTTCTGATATGTGGTTTACAAATATTTTCTCCCATTCCATAGGTTGCCTTTCTCTTTTTTAATGGTTTTCCTTGCTGAGAAGAAGCTTTTTAGTTTGATGTAGTACTACTTGTTTATTTTTGCTTTTGTTTGTTCTTTTTGTGTCAAATCCAAAAAGAATAATTATCAAAGCCAATGTCAAGGAGCTTACAGTCTCTTTTCATCTAAGAGTTTTATGGTTTCAGATCTTATGTTCAAGTCTTTAATCCATTTTTAGTTCAATTTTTGTATGGTGTAAGCCAGGGGTCAAGTTCTTCTCTTTTTCATGTAGCTAACCAGTTTTCTCCACACAATTTATTGAAGAGACTGTTGTTTCTCCTTTGTATATTTTTGGCTCCATTGTTGTACGTTAATTGACCACATATCCACAGGTTTATTTCTGGGCTCTCTATTCTGGTCCATTGGTCTACATGTATTTTTTATGCCAAAATTATTCTGTTGTGATGAACGTGCTTTGTAAAATAGGTTTTTTAAAAAATATTTATTTATTTTTATTTTGGCTGCACTTGGTTTTAGTTGTGACGTGTGGGATATTTGTTGCGGCATGTGGACCCCTTAGTTGCAGCATGCAAACTCTTATCTGCATGTGGGATCTAGTTCCCCAACCAGGGATTGAACCAGGGCCTGCTGCATTGGGAGTGTGGAGTCTTACCCACTGGAACACCAGGGAAGTCCCTGTAAAATAGTTTGAAATCAGGAAATGTGATGCCTCCAGCTTTGTTCTTCTTTCTCAAGATTGCTTTGGCTATTTGGGGTATTTTGTGGTTCCATATAAATTTTAGGGTTGTTTTTCCTATTTATGAGAAAAATGTCGTTGGAATTTATAGGAACTATGTTGAATCTGTAGATTTCTTTGGGCAATATGGACGTTTTCTTTTCTTTTTTTTTTTTTTTGGCTACGTTGGGTCTTTGTTTCTGTGCGTGGGCTTTCTCTAGTTGCGGTGAGTGAGGGCTACTCTTCGTTGTGGTGTGTGGGCTTCTCGTTGTGGTGGCCTCTCTTGTTGTTAAGCACAGACTCTAAGGTGTGCAGGCTTCAGTAGTTGTGGCACATGGGCTCAGCAGTTGTGGCACATGGGCTCTACAGAGCAGACTCAGTAGTTGTTGTGCATGGACTTAGTTGTTCCACAGCATGTGAGATCTTCCAGACGAGGGCTCGAACCCCTGTCCCCTTCATTGGCAGGTGGATTCTTAACCACTGCACCACCAGGGAAGTCCCCAGTATGGACATTTAATGATATTCTTCCAATCCATGTACAAGAACATCTTTCCATTACTTTGGGTTTTCTTCAGTTTCTTTTAGTTTTCAGTATATAGAACTTAGAACTCCTTGGTTAAATATATTTCTAAGTATTTTATTCTTTCTGATGCTATGGTAAATAGGATTGTTCTCAGTTTCTCTTTCTGATAGTTCAATGTTGGTGTATAGAAACAATTTACATTTTTATATTAATTTTTATCCCGCAACTTTACTGAACTCGTTTGTTAGTTCTAACAGTGTTTTTGGTGGGGTTTTCAGAGTTTTCTATACATAATATTATGTCATCGGCAGATAGAAATAATTTTATGTGTTCCTTTCTTATTTGGATGTTTTTTATTTCTTTTTATTGCCTGATTGCTCTGGCTAGGAATTTCACTACTATGTTGAGTAAAAGTAGCAAGAGTGGGCATCCTCATCTTGTTCCTGATCTTAGAGGAAATGAATTCAACATTTTACTGTTGAGTATGATGTTAGCTGTGGGCTTGTAATTTATGGACTTTATTACTTTGTGATACATTCCCCTATAGTCAATTCATTAAGAGTTTTATCATGAAATGTTGTTAAATTTTGTCAAATGATCTTTATGCATCTGTTAAGATGATCATATAATTTTTATTTTTCAGTTTGTTAATGTGGTATATCACATTGATTTATTTGCAGATGTTAAATCATCCTTGTTTCCCTGGAGTAAATCCCACTTGGTTATGGTGTATGATCTTTTTAATGTAGTGTTGAATTTGATTTGCTAATATTTTGTTGAGGATATTTACATCGATGTTTGTCAGGGATTTTGGACTATAATTCTCTTTTCTTGTAGTGTCCTTGCCTAGCTTAGGTATCAGGGTAATGATGACCTCATAAAATGAGTTTGGAAGTGCCCCCCCTCTTTTATTTTTTAGAAAAGTTTGAGAAGGATGTATAGTAGTTCTTCAAATGTTTGGTAGAGTTTATCAGTGAAGTCTTCTGATTATAAACTTTTCTTTCTTGGGAGGTTTTTGATTACTGACTCAAGCTCTTTACTAGTAATTGGACTGCTCGTATTCTTCATGATTCAATCTTGGAAGGTTTTATGTTTCTAGGAATTTATTGCTTTCTTCTAGATTGTTCAATAAACAAGCATATACTTGTTTTTATGATTCTTTGTATTTCTGTGACATCAGTTGTAATGACTCTTCTTCCATTTCCAATTTTATTTATTTGAATCCTTTCTCTTTTTTTCTTGGTAAATATAACTAAAGGTTTGTATATTTTCTTTTTCTTTTAAAAAAACAGCTCTTAGTTTCATTGATTTTTTTTTCTATTTTCTTTTTAGTCTCTATTTATTTCCACTCTGATCTTTATTATTTCCTTCCTTCTACTAACTTGGGGTTTAGTTTCTTCTTATTATTCTAGTTCCTTGAGGTTTACAGTTAGTTTATGTCAGATCATCCTTTTTTCTTTTTTTTTTGGAAATTGTTTATTTTAAAATTACTTCCCAACAAACCATGAAAACACTTGGATGTTATTTTATGGTTTTTCATTGAAAACATACTACATTGTAAATGGAGTTTCAAAGTTAGACAAAGAATTGATCAAAATCTAAGGACAATATTATGTAAGGACAATGTTAAAAATTGATAAGAAAACGTTTCATTTGGTGAGGTTAATCTCAAGGATGCATAACCAAGTCATGTTGGACAGATAAAAAAAGGTAGTGACCTTGTGCTTTTATTCAACTAAGGTACTTACCAAAACCTTAGGTTTTATACAGGCGTTAAACTCCCACCTGGAAAGGGATAGTATTCTATACTACACCTAAGTTTACCTTAAATAACTGAAGCCCAAGGCAACAGTTGTTTAAAAGAACTTAACAGGCAAATAATGACTACATAATTTAGTACATTAAAATAAAACTAGGACAGTAATAGTTGACTGTTTCAAAAATAAACAAGTGGGGAAAATAACCACTGTACACAATTTGGAGGTTGTTAAAGTGACCACTTAGAAGGTTGAACAGTGCAAGACATGCTTTTCCAGTTACAAGCTCAAAACAGGAGTGCAAACGAAATTAAAGCTTTTGTTTAAAGTTGCAGGATAAGGAAAGCTTGAAATTAATATTAAAAAGCTTCCCTCAGGTCATTCCCCAGAAATGAAACGATCAAAATGCTTTTTCATAGTATAATTTTCTTCAGTGAACTTTCTTTCAGTGGCAAAACTGCATCCAACAGGTTGGGTTTCCTACTCACACCACTGGTCATGACCACATTTGATCAATGAGCACACACAGCGGTGAGTAAGGAAGAGTACTAGTTGCCAGAAGTCTGACATCAATGTAAAGAATTTGGGGTTCTGCCTCAGCCAGTGTACCTGAACCCTGCAGAGAACAGATAAAGCAATGGGCTCTAATACTCTCTTATTCTTGTAAAACTGGAGGACAAATGGACATACAAATACCACCCCGCCCCCAGAGGCAAGCTGTTGTGGTGGAAGATGTTAAGCGCTTAAATGAACTAAGACGCTGCTCTAAAAAGTGGAGAAGTGTAGAGGTTCAAGATCAATACCAGTGCAAGAGCTTTGTAAGTGAGTTGACTAGGCAATGCATGCATCCATCCATGCAAATGTAGGACATGGCCCCAAAAGTGAACCAAAAACATGTATATAACAACTGGGTAAGTCCCTTGCCAGTAGTTTATAAAAATATATAGTCAATACTGTAGAGGCCCCTTCTACAGCCAATACTATGGAAGTCCGTTTTAGTTACCCATTACTTCAATACCAAAAAGCATTTACTACTTTTCAGACATTCCAGACAAAGGTCACTTATAACAAAAAGTCAATTTTTTTTTTAAAAACAAGATACTGTCCATTTAAAAAGTAGGTCTTTTCTTTCAAGTGCACAGGACATTTTATGTATTAAACTTAACTTCTAGTCTGTCAAGACTGGTTTAAGATCCTTATGTAATGTGCATATATGCAGAAACAGATAAACTTGCTTTAAACATTATCTGCACAGAAATAAAGTTAACTTCTCAAAACATGATAGGATAGGTCTGGTTAGTACAAATCTATTGCAAAATAAAAGGATTCTGCGCATCAGTTCAACGAGGAGAAGCGGGAAAAGACTGTCCCAACCATGAGAGTTCAAGTTTACGCTGTGTTCTGAAAGCCTAGAGCTAAGGGACACCATGTTGCTCACAGTGTCCTGATATGCAGATCTGCTCAAGCTACGAAGTCAGGGCTTCCTCTGGAGCTAGAAGCACATTCTGGTTTACTTTCTATTCCGGAGACGTTTAGATTTCCTAAGAGAGTCTATGGCTTCTGCGGCCTTTTTGCGTTTCCGAGGAGACTCTTCATTCTGCCCAGACCCTGAGGAGTCTCCTACTGCACTTTCCATTACTTCTCGCAGTTTGTGTTCCAGCTCTGCCAACCGTGCGTTCTGTTCACCTATGATCTGGGTCTGCTCTAGCAGTTTCTGGTCCTGGTCTTGAAGCTGTTTCTGCTGTTCTTGCACTTTGGTGCGAAGCTCAGAAATTTCACGCCTGAGAACAGTCACCCCAGCACCATTTGTCTTAACCTGCTGCTGGAGTTTGGTAACCTCTTGTCTTGAAGGGTTTTGCTTAGAGAAGAGTTGCATTGTTGTCAGGGCTGCAGAAGGTCCTGGAACTGGAGGAGAGCCCATGAGTCTTCCAGATACATCTGATCCTGGTAATTTCCTCTTTAGAATTGGAACAATCTTTTCATCAAAGTATTCCATTGCCATGGAGGAAATATCCCTTAACTCTTGAAGTACTTCATGAGCTCGCTGAGGGGCTCTGGTAGAATTGACATATCTCAACACACGATAAATCTCATCAATCACCTTTCCTGGGATGAAGCAACAGAGATTGGAGTCCACATACTTCATGAAAGTCATATTTAAGAGAGACAGCCTTGTTTCAACAGCAGCGAGGATGTCTGCATGACGAGCTAATGAATGGTTTCTCCTTTCTGACTCTCTCCAAATGTAAAATGGATGGCTAGTGGGAAGCTGCTGCATAGCACAGGGAGATCAGCTCGGTGCTTTGTGACAACCTTGGGAGTTGTGCTTTAACTTGTTTCTGACATAGATTATGGTACCTCTCCACTTTTAGAAATCCCTGATTCAACATTCTCTGGCAGACCAAGTCCATTCTTTTACAAACCAGGCGGAGCTGGCTAATTTCGTCGTAGGACATAAAGCTGAGGATGTTTTCGATGGCTACGATGGGCAGCGCCACGAGCGTGTTGTTTTGAGGCAGCTGGTCCGGAGCCAGCGCCGGGGCCGTGGGAGCCTGGGACCCCGGCTGCGGGGCCTGGGGCGGGGGAGGTGGGGGCAGTCGCTGGGTAGAGCCGATGGCCGAAGGGGAGCCACCGTCGCCGTGGCCACCGACTCCTTCCTCAGCCATCCGCTCCTCCGACGCCGCCGCCATCTTGGGGGTTTTCCCTTTTTTCTTAATGTAGGCATTTATCGCTCTAAACTTCCCCCTTAGAACTGCTTTTGCTCCATCCCATGGTTTTGGTATGTTGTGTTTCCATTTTTATTTGTTTCAAGTTTTTTGTTTTTATTTTAATTTCGATTTCTTCTTTGACCCTTGGTTGTTCAGGAACATGTTTATTCTCCACATGTTTGTGAATTTTCTAGTTTTCTTTTTGTATTTGATTTCTAATTTCATACCATTGTGGTAGGAACAGATGCTGGATATAATATCAGTATTCTTAAATTTATTAAGACTTTTGTGGCCTAAATTATGATCTGTCTTGGAGAATGCTTCATGTGAGCTTGAGAAAAATGTGTATTGTACTACTGTTGGATGGAATGTTAAGTGTCTGATATGACCATCTGATCTAATGTGTAGTGAAAATTGAATATTTCTGTATGGATTTTCTGTCAGGATGATCTATCCATTATTGAATTGTGGTATTTAAGTTCTCTACTATTATTGTATTGCTGTCAATTTCTCTCTTCAGATCTGTTAATATTTTCTTTATATATTTATGTGCTTCTATATTTGGTTCAGAAATATTTACTACTTTTATATACACTTTGGTGAATTGATCCCTTTTTCATTATAGAAAAACCTTCTGTGTCTCTTGTAACAGTCATTAGCTTAAAGTGTATTTTGTCTGATATAAGTATAGCTACCCCTGATTTCTTTTGATTTCTATTTGCATTGAATATCTTTGTTCCATCCCTTCACTTTCAGTTATGTGTGTCCTTAAAGCTGAGGTACATCTCTGGTACACAGCATATAGTTTGGTCTTGGTTTTTGTTTTCTGAGTTTTTTGAATCCATGTAGTCACTCTGTGTGTTTTGATTGGAAAATTTAGTCCATTTACATTTAAAGTAATTATTGATAGACGTGGACTTACTATTGCCATTTTTTTGTAGTGGTATTGTTTGATTCCTTTCTCTTTATCTTTATCCTTATCTTTCTCTTTATCTTTATCTTTCTCTTTATCTTCTGTGTATCTACTATAAGTTTTAACTTTGTGGTTATTTTGAGACATATAAAATATATTTATAGCAGTCTCTTTTAAGCTGATCACTTGTCTTTGAATGCATACAAATGCTCTACATTTTTACACTCCCTCTCTCCACATTTGGTTTTGATATCACTAATTTATATCTTTTTACAATGTGTATCCATTAACAAATTGATGTAATTATAGCTGTTTTTTAATACTGTTGTTTTATACTTTCATATATTTTTCTGTTATTAATTAGAGCCCTTTTGTTTCAACTTGGAGATGTTCTTTAACATTTCTTGTTAGGTTATTCTATTGGTAATTAATTTCATAAGCTTTTGCTTGTCTGGAAAACTCTTTATCCTTCCTTCAGTTCTAAAGGCACACCTTGCCAGGTAGTGTATTCTTGGTTGGCAGATTTTTGTTCAACACTTTGAATACATCTTCCTGTCTGCAAAGTTTCTGCTTAAATATCTGCTGAAAGTTTATGGGATTTCCCTTGTAAATTATAAGTTGCTTTCCTCTGGCTATTTAAGATTTTCTCCTTGTTTTTAACTTTTGGCAAGTTAATTATAATGTGTCTTGGTATGGTTCTTTGGGTTTATTTATTTGGGTCCCTCTCTGGGATTCCTGAACCTGGATATCTTTATCTTTCTCCAGATTAGGGCAGTTTTCAACCATTATTTTTTAAAAATAAGCTTTCTGCCCCCTTTCTCTCTCTTGTCTCCTTGTGGGACCTCTATAATGCATATATTGCTTGGCTTGATGATGTCTTCTATCATCATCAGGCTATATTCACTTTTTTCATTCTTTTTTATTTACTCATCTGATTGGATGAACTCCACTGCCTTGGAATTCTTTCTTCTACTTGGTCTAGTCTGCTATTGAACGCTTCTAGTGAAATTTTCAGTTTAGTTATATTTTTCATCTCTATGATTTCTTTTTGGTACTGTTTAATATTTTCTATCTCTTCATTAAAATTCTCCCTTTGTTCTTGCATTACCCTTCTGATATCAGTGAGCATCTTTATGACTATTATTTTGAACTCTCTATCAGGAAAGTCACTTATCTCCAATTCATTAAGATCTGTTTCTGGAGATTTATCTTGCTTTTTTGTTTGGTACTTACTCCTCTGTTTCTTCATCTTCTTTGACTGTGTTTGTTTCTGTGCATTAGATAAAACAGCCACCTCTGCCCATCTTGATAGAGTGGTCTTTTATAGGAGATTGAACCTCATTGATGGTTTGGCCTGAGCTCCTAGCTGTCTTTCAATCTTCTGTGACTGTCCAAGCCTCCTTCTTCATTTTCAGTGGCTCCCAGTAGTTTAGGGTATGTCAAGACATCTCAGTGTCCCAAAAGGGAAGATTTCAATCAGCACCTAGATGCAGGTTGATTAGAACCTGGATCCTCAGGTAGCAGCTGGGAAAGTATGCATTTAACCTCCTCCAAGGGAGAAACTGGGAGATGGCCATTTTCCCTGTTCCATCTGTACTGATCCTTGATGTACAGCCACAGAGAAGGGGATGCCCCTACACCTGTTAAGATAGTGTTTCTATATTTGTTACAGTCCTGTGGGACTCACGAATGCAAGCAACACTGGCTATAGAGCCAAGTGATCCCGAGACCCATCCCTCATATGGGACCTGCAAATCCTGGGGCACTATATGTGTGTACAAGCTCCTTTCAGGAAGACACTGTCAGCTTAATCTTGTTATTGGATCAGGGTGTACATAAGCTTTCTTGGCCTCTGGGGAAGATGGCAGCCAGTCCCTAGTGCCTGCTAAATTAGAAGTCTGACCTTCAGACAATAGCTTTTAAAGTATGCAAATAAACCTCTTTCAGGGAAAGATTTGGAGATGTATGATTTTGCCTGCTCCCTTTGCACTAAGCCTTGGAGGATAGCCTGTTAAGAATTGTTTCTTTATATGCTGTATGAGTCCTGTGGGACTTCTGAAGGAAGTCTCTTTGGTTATCAGAGCCACGCAATCTGGGGACATTCCCCTTTTGTGGAAGCTCTAAAAACTGGGTTGCACACATGTGTACAATCTCCTTCCAGTCAGATATTAATAATTTGGAACGGGCTGAAGGGAGAAGGTGGAATGGGTGTCTGCCATCTTCCCTGGTCTTTGGGGAGAATTGAAGCCAGTCCCTAGTACCTGCAAAACTGGAAGGCTGGCCCTCAGATAGTAGAGTTCAAAGTATTCTGATAAGCTTCTTTCAAGGAAATACTAGGAGATGCGTGATTTTACCTGCTTCATCTGTGCTGAGCCCTGGAGGGAGAGGCATGGTGAGTTCTCATGTGCCCATTAGGAATTGCTTTTTTGTGTTTTCCATTGTATTGTGGGTCTCTTGGACACAAGCCCCACTGGGTTTCAGAGCTAGGTGTTTTGGAAACCTGTCCCTCTGATGGGGTCTCAAAAGTTGGGGTCCAACCTTTTGTGGGGTCCAAACTCTTCACTTTTTGAGAAGAATCTGGGAGTTGGGTGTTCCCTCCCAACTGTATTGTACTGTGCTAAAGGTGGGGTTTATGGTGTAAGAGAGTGTCTCAGTCTTTCCTACCCATTTCAGTGTCAGTATTTTCTCATTAGTCTGTTGTGAGAAATCACTCAGCTAGTTTCTGGATCTCTTTCAGAGGGAATTTCTGTGTGTGTAACTGTACATTCATTGCATCCGTGGGAGGAGGGAAACTCAGGATCCTCCTATGTCACCATCTTGTTGACTCCCAATCTAGAATTTCTTTTAATGAGGTTTTTCTGGTGATAATTGCCTGTATTATTTTGGCCTCAAATTGTCTTTGCTTCACTTTCATTTTTTAGATCGCAAACTTTATTTTTTAGAGCAGTTTTAGATTCACAGAAAAATTTAGCAGAAAGTACAGAGTTTCCATATACCTCATGTCCCCATACATGCACATCAGCCCCCCACTGTTGGCATCCTTCTCCACAGTTGTACATTTGTTAAACTTGATGCACCTACATTGACAAATCATGATCATCCAAAGCCCATAATTTACATAAGTGTTCACTTTGGTGAACATTCTATGGGTTTTGGCAAATGTATAATGACATGTATCAACCATTATAGTATCGTACATAATGGTTTCACTGCCCTAAAAATACTATTTGCTCTGCCTATTCATCCTCCTTCCCCCCAAGCCCTGGTGATCACTAATCATTTTTACTGTCTCCATAGATTTTCCTTCTCCAGAATGTCATATAGTTGGAATCATACAATATGTAGCTTTCAGATTGGCTTCTTTCACTTTGTAATATGCATTTAAGATTCCCCCATGTCTTTTCATGACTTGATAGCTAATTTCTTTTTAGCACTGAATAATATTCTATTGCCTGGATGTACCACAGTGTGTTTATCCATTCACCTACTGAAGGACATCTTGCTTGCTTCCAAGCTTTTGCAATTATGAATAAAATTGCTATAAACCTGTGCACAGGTTTTTTTGTGGGCATAAATTTCAACTCCATTAGCTAGGGTGTCTGAGTGACTTCAGTGAGAAGTGGCCCTCTCCCAATAATAAATATGTAACACAAGCAAGAAATAAATCTGTGTTGTTTTCTGCTACTGTAGAATTATCTATCTTATTCTAATAGATGGTGCTCTTATTATCTATTTAATGTCATTGCAGCATCTGTAATGATGTCCCCTTTTCCATTCCTGTTATTTGCCTTTTCTCTCTGGCTTTCTCTCTCTCTCTCCCCATTTCTTTCTCCTTTCTCCCCACCCCACCCTAAGTCTCACCACCAGAAGTTTGTCTTTTCAAAGAGCATACTTTGGACTTTGTTTATGCTTGTTTTTTAACTCCTGTTAAAAACTTCTGTTCCTTTGTTTAATTTTCTTCCTTCTGCTTTAAAAAAATGTTTACGTTTAATTATTTTGCTTCTCTTTTTCTAATTTCTTGAGATGTTAGCTCATTAATTCTCTTTTCTTTTTTTCTAATATATGCATT